TGGGGCGTGGGGAGGGGGAGGGGCGCGCATTTTACCTTTCTTGATACCTTCAGTGAGTGCAAGAACGCAGAGATACAGAGTTTGGTAAGTTCTAAATTTTGTCAGATCTGACAAGATTATTTGACGAGGAGGAAAGTGATCCTGATTTCATTGTGGAACACCTACTGCCTCGAATAGTAACATTATCAGGGTTGACTGCCTTTGCAGAAGAAACATGTTTAATCGCAAGTGCATGAATGCCAGTCTTCATGTCTGCTCTTATTCTGCACTGCCTGCAAGCTAGGATTTGCCTGGCAAGGTTGGGCTCCCACCTCCCAGCCAGTGGCGGACTCTTGGCAGACTCTCAGCTTCTTTCTCTCCCTTCTCCCACCCCAACCTGTGCATCATTTTCTTTATTTCAGTGAGTGCTAACCTTCTTCCCGCTCCCCTTCGATTTAGGCTTTGCATAAGTATACTGACAGTGAACTACAAAGAAAAGTCTTTGGTTGAGTGCCTAACTAATGAAGGACCTAGTAAGATGGGTTGCATAACAAAGTGGAAGTGCAGTATGAAAACTGATGCTTTGGTATAATCTAAGTGGTTTATGCTTATGCTTCTTGCATGGGGGTAGGAAGATGGAGCATGAGGAGGACCATGGCAAGGACCTTAGTGAAAATATTTAAGTATTTTAGGTTAATAGATATATACTGACACCTCATATAGAAGTTTCAGATTCACAGAGAAGTATGGGGGAAAAATCTACATTTATACACCAGTGGTGTCTAAAGTACAGTACCTTCCGTGTAACCTTTATTATATAATAATTGCAAATCACATGAAAATGAATTAGGCAGTATATAGGAGAAAGGTTAGTTATTCAAGGCTTTCGCTTTTGCTTGTTCCAGTTGTCCTTCCAGCTCAGTTTATGACCTGATGAAATAGCAAAAATGCTTACTCTCTTTATTTTATGATGATATTTTTTTCATAGAAAGGCATTTTATTTTAAATATAGCAGTGTGTACATGTCAATCCCAAACTCCCAATCTATCCCTTATTACTCTTAAGCACTGATTTTATCTTATGTTATAGGAGTGGAGAAGCCAGAAGGCCTCTATTGTGTATTTTTGTTCTTTTTTTCCCATTCAACAGTAATATCCTCTAAGATTGAAATTCAGCTCCTCTTCACCTTGGAAGGAAGTTAACTAGTATGATAAAATTTATCTGAACTGTAGCAATAAGTAGGATGAAGGAGTCACACAGAATTTTGATAACATGGTGAAGCAATATTTACCTCTAGTGCAGGGGCAGTGATAATATGAATGCAGCAGGGAAAACTATCACAGTGCATCTCTGGATATATTCTGACATTTTAGGTGCTCATTCTAATTTAGATTGCAGTTTCTGGAGCAAATCTGAACCTTAAATTGTGCAAAAAATTAGTAAAGCCATAAAGTCCCTTTAGAAGAGCAAACTAGAAGGGCCACGATATCTCTGAAAAGATTTCTGTGGCCATGATGTTGAGGCCAACCTGAGAAACGTCCCATATCCTGTCTCCTGAGGGACTCCCCTTGAAGTGCACAGGGCTGGTTACCTCTCAAAACAGAGTTTTTAAGCTTTGCTCTTGACCATGTTCTTGCCTAATTAGGACCAATTAATTTTGCAGTTTTACTTGTGCCAGTTTTTGCTTTGCTTGCCAATAACTAATTGCATAGGTTCCTTGTTTTTGTTTTTACCACTACCAGTCAGGTTTTGTTGGAATTTTAAGCCAAAAACATTTAATTGCTTTGCTCAGTAAGTAGGTACCTGGAGAAATCAACCTTAAATCCTAGTAACAGTTCTTTTTAGCATACCTCCAAAATACATAAATTGCTTATGTTTTTCAAAGGTAGGACAGTTTTATTTTTATTAATTACTATTTTTGTTTTGTTTTGTAAAACAGCATGGCTTAGATCACGGTCACTTTTTTGTATTTGAAACTCTTACCCTGAAAACTGTATTCTTGGCATCTTTCATCTAATCCATGAACAATTTATACATATGCTTTTAGAACTTTCCGTTTCAGAGGTCTTAAATTCTCATTGGATGTTTCTAATGGAGATGTATTATGAAATCATTATATCCCCAGGGAGAGTGTATCAGGTGAAAAGACCAGTCAAGTGGTTTAGATCAAGATAAGCCAGACATTCCCAGGTTTCACTTATGATCTGCCACTTCTTAGCTGTGTGATTGAAGATAAGATTATCAGCTGCCCTGAGTCTCGCTTTACTCAGCTGTAAAATGGTGATAGTACCATCTCCTTCACAGTGTAATTCTGAGGATTAAATGACAGCTTTTGTAAAGTGACTAGCTGAGTGCCTAGTATGTACAAAGTAAATCCTTGGTGAATTAACATAATTGCTGTTATCATTATAGAGTCATGGGGGGCTTTTACTAAGGGATCTCATTTGGATTTTGCTGCTGCATTCTAATTTGGTGTTAGCTGTAAGAGAGACTAGTAAGTCGGACTATCTGTTTGGGATAGGACCTTTAACGTTTCGTTTTGCTGTGTTTTAGCAAAGTGTTATTTTTCATAAATTATATAAAAACAGTGTCAAACAGGTTTTTTTTTGTGTGTGTGTGGTACGCGGGCTTCTCACTGTTGTGGCCTCTCCTGTTGCAGAGCACAGGCTCCGGACGCGCAGGCTCAGCGGCCATAGCTCACGGGCCCAGCCGCTCCACGGCATGTGGGATCTTCCCAGACCGAGGCACGAACCCGCGTTCTCTGCATCGGCAGGCGGACTCTCAACCAGTGCGCCACCAGGGAAGCCCTCACACAGGTTTTATAGGCAGGCCAGATATTGTCCAAGGTGGTCCATGGTGATAGGTGACGTTTTAATCATGGCAGGTGTCAGATAGTTCTGTCTGTATCAACTAAGCCTCCAGGGAAATAGATGTTATTCTTGCTCTAATTGTCATTAACAGAAATATGAATGTTGCCATTTACTCAAGGCTGACTGTGTAAAAGGTACTCCCAGTGATTCTGAGAGGCAGACACAGAGCTATATTTTGGAAACTGAAAGGGAAAGAAATTCATCTAGGGTGTCTAGGATGACACAGCTTAGTAGGTACAGAGCAGACTCAAAACGTGGTATCTGATGTTAAGACTCTGCTGTATTATACACTATAGCCCAATGGTTTCTGGCTCTGTTAATCCCCTTTTGATATAACCATGAAAAAAATTGCATTCCAGTTATATAAAAATAGTAAAATTAAAGTTGCCAATATTAAGACATCAGGTTTTTCATGCACAGATAACTAGAAAAAATTTAAATGTTTATAAAACTATTATTCCTATTTCTCATTCTGAAGATTCAAAAATAGTTGCAAAAAAGCTTTATATCTGTATAGTTTCATTTAAAAGATGTATCAGGTGGCATCCCAACATTCCCTGGAAAATTTCAGCACTTACTGAAAATTAAATAGTCTTGTATTAAACCTAGTTCTTTCCCCCCAATATTTCAACTCTGATATTGCAAATAGTGCCTGCTGCCAAGATTATCATCCACCTAGATATGCTCTTCTCTTTACTTGGAACAAACAGAAAAATGTTGAGATGTTTGTGTATAGCTTTTAAAAGTTTTTGTAATTATATCCTTTGACATATTTAGCAATAATAAGAATAATGATAATAATAAATAATAATCTCTTCCATTTTTAAAGTACTGTGTAAATAACAAGCTGTTTTTAGACACATTATCTTATGTCATCCTCACCACAGCCAAGCCATGGTTGGGAGTGGGCAAGTAAATCTTGTTAAGCTCCTACTTCTAGGAGAGGCAGTATGTGAACTGGAGCCTGGATTTTCTGATGCTAAATCTCAAAATCTGTTGGGTATACCTTTGTCTTTGTCCTCATTTCTGCTCCTGCCCATTCCCTCATCTCCATCTTTTCCTTTCCTCTTCCCTTCACTTCCCACCCCTCCCTCTGCCCTGCTCCTTTTCCTTCTCTCTCTGTCATCTTCCATCCATTCGTCTACTTTGTTTCAGCACTTTCCTACCAATCCTCTTGCCTCAGTCACTGTATGCTGTGGCTATCCCAGTGACTCAATGGAATGGTAAAGATCTGTTTGCCAATTCACGTATAGATATTTGTGTGGCTCTGAGGAATAGGCCAAGAACTCAGATGTAAGCTCTTAGAGAAGGAAGTTTGTTTTATTTGCTGCTACATTCTCAGAACTTAGTGTAAAGAAGATGCTCAATAAATATTTACTACCCGGATGAATGAATAGGTGATTGAATGACCTAATAAAAAACTGTAAGATACATCTGGGCATTCACTAACTGTTTACTTACTTGCCTATTTTTGCCCATGAATTGTCCCTCTGCTGTTCTTTTGGTAGCTGATTTTGGCAGTAGATATATCAATGGAATTTCTGGTTGTGTTATTTTATATCAATGTCGCTAAATGTTAGAATCATGACTCCCCAAAAGTCAAAGCATTTTAGACTTTGTAGTCTTTAGTGTTTAGACTAAACATCCACAGAATCTCAGATTTACTTGCATGCGTGTATTTTGCACTCTCTCCTTTCTCAATGTATCACATATTAAATCATTATAATTATAAGTGGATAACTAAAAAATTTATATTGATATTATCCAGAACCTTTTTACTTTATATTCAGTAGTATTTTGTGTCTCC